GTCTGAATACCCGACAATTTCATCTTCGTTTCCAGCCTCCTTTGAGTACACAATTCCACAACTAATCGTTCCTTTAATTTATCTCAAAATATGCTTCACAACTTGCTGGTGAAGTACAGTAGGTTTCTCCATATACCTACATACCACTCCTAGTGCATAAGTAAGATCCGGGCGAGTGTGAGTCAAATACCTTAAGCTGCCGACAATACTTTTGAAACTTGTTACATCAACAGGTTGTCCGCCCTCATCTTTGCCTAGATGGCGCTTCGGTTCCATCGGATATTTAGTAGGATTGCAATCTGCCATCCCTGCTTTTTCCAAGATTTTCTTGGCATATGCTGTCTGTTTTAATATGATCTTCCCCTTCACTTGCTCTACCTCAATCCCTAGATAGTATGATAAGAGTCCAAGATCACTCATGTCAAACTCCTTACTCATTTGATTCTTAAACTCACTGATTTTTGAAGCACTTGAGCCGGTAACTAACAAATCATCAACGTAACACACTGAGGATCAAAGCTTCCCCTGCCACATACTGGGTGTAGACAGCTTGTTCATATGGACATCTTTTGAATCCAAGCTTCTTTAAACACCTGTCCAAGCATGCATTCCATGTCCTTGGTGCTTGGCGTAGCCCGTACAACGCCTTACACAGTTTATACACCTTCTGCTCATGATTTTCTCTCACAAAGCCTTCGGGTTGTTTAACATACACTTCCTCTTGAAGTTCGCCATTTAAGAATGCGGATTTGACATCAAGGTGATGAACTTCCAAACCTTTCTTGGCTGAGAGTGCAAGGATCAATCTTACAGTTTCAATCCGGGCTACCGGTGCAAAAACCTCCTCATAATCAACGCCATGTTGTTGTATGTAACCTTTTGCCACAACCCTCACTTTGTGTTTGATGATATTCCCATTCGAGTCCTTTTTCAGTTTGTAAACCCATTTTACCCCAATGGGTTTATGACCAGGAGGAAGTTCAGTCAAGCTTCAAGTTTTATTTTTCTCAATAGCCTCCAACTCTTGCCTCATTGCTTCCTTCCAGTGCATTTCTTTTGTAGCCTCTTCATAGGAACTCGGTTCCTCCATACCAAGGAATAATAATTCTGCATCTGCCTGAGTTTCTTGAGTTTCAGCATAAATTTCTTGAAGGGATCTGAATCTTCTTGGTGCTTCATCACTGGATGCACTTCTTGGATCACTGTGGGGAATAGTTGTTGCGTTTAGTGGGTTTAGCTCATCTGCTGCTGTCTACTCTTGGAACTGCATTTCTGGTCCACGAGGCGTGTCAGTGGATTCTCTCTGAGGTGTGGATGACACGACATCATATTCTCCTTCATCAAGACTTGATTGCTCAGTTCCCTCAATGATAAATGATGCCGAGAAATCTGATTTTTCAGCACCAAGTTGTTCCCATGGCCATTGTTTATTTTCCTCGAAAACAACATCACGACCAACATAGATCTTCCTTTCCTTTGGGTCCAGCAGTCTGCAAGCCTTACTCCTAGGCTCCATGCCCAAGTATACTAAAGGTTTGCTCCGATCAACCAGCTTCTTCACCTGTGAGCTTGGAATTTTCATGTCCCACACACCCAAACACTCTTAAGTGTCCTAGATGTGGTTTCTTTCAGGACCAAGCCTCGTATGGAGTAATATCATCCAATGCTTTCAATGGTACACGGTTTAGGATGTAAACCGCATGCCGGACAGCCTCCCCCATAAGTATACTCGCAGTTTCATGCTTTTCAAAAGACTTCGAGCCATTTCTTTGACAGTGCGATTTCTCCTTCCACGACACTGTTTTGCTATGGGGAATAAGGTGCTGTTGTGTGCCTCTGGATTCCAGCCTCTTCACAGTATCGTGTGAACCTGATTTGAGAGGAATTCACCTCCCCGACCAGTTCTAAAAACATGTATTTTTCATTCGGTTTCTCTTTCAACTAGGGCTTGAAACTTCTTGAAGGCATCAAGAGCTTCATCTTTAAAAATCAGAATATACACACGCACATTACACGGCTGTAATCATCAACCAAAAGGAAGAAATATCTGTTTCCCACGGGAGTTGGTGGAGTAATTGGGCCGCAGAGATAACCGTGGACTAGCTGCAGAATCCTTTCAGCTCTATAGCTTGTTTGAGTGGGAAAAGAACTTCTCGTTTGTTTTTCGATCAAACACCCATTGCATATCTGTGTAGGGTGCTCTATTCTCGGCACACCACACACCATATTCTTCTTGGACATCAACATTAGGGACTCAAAATTTATATGCCCGAGGCGTGCATGCCATAGCCAGGATGAGTCTGCAAGCTTTGACAGCAAACAAACTGACTAAGGACTCTCCAACATGATTTTGTAAAGTCTGTTAGGTGACCTTTTCACTTTCATGAGCAATCTCCCTTATTTTTCATACACCCATAAAAATTCTCCATGGAGTATGACCTTGTTCCCGACCTCTGAAAGTTGACCGAGGCTTATAATGTTGCTGCACAAATCGGGTATATAATATACCTCACCCAGAAGCCGTTGCTCACCATTCTTACACTGAAGATGAATACTTCCTCTACCTGCAGTGTGCACCATTGATCCATCCCCAAAGTTGACTTGACCCTTTATGCTCTCGTCTAAATCCTTAATTTTTTATCTCTCGCCCGTCATGTGGTTACTTGCTCCATTATCCAAGTACCACAGGTTAGACTCCTCCGAGGCTCCCTTGCCAGACCGCAATTTTGGGACCACCTTTTCGTTTAAGAGTACCACGTTGCATGCCTCCTGCTTGCACATGGATAGAAGGAGTGCAGGATCATCATCTTGAATCTGAATTAGATTTGCTTCCCGGTTGTTTTCACGTCGAGGCTTTCGGCATTCTAAAGCGTAGTGACTGTAAATATCACAATTAAAACACTTTATATTGCTTTTATCACGGCCACCACTTGGATTTCGGTTGTTTTCTACCTCCTGCTTAAAGGTATTGTTACTACCCCGACCTCCTCGGCCGCCTCCTCGACCTATGCCACGTCCCCTTCCACATCTGCCGTTATTTCTACTGTTGCTACCGCGAGCCTTAGGAGCTGAAGAAGACTCCCCACTGCTCCCCTTTTTTGACCTTTCTAGCCACTCCTCCTGAGTGAGTAAGAGGTGATTAGAATCACTTTCTTCTTGCCCATGATTTCTTTCCTCATAAACCCTGAGATGCCACACTGCCTCCTCTAATTTCATGGTCTCCAGGTCTCCAAATTGCTCAATTGTTGAAGCATGTTGAAGGAATTTCTGTGGGATAGCTTGTAGTAATTTTTTCACAACACTTGACTCCTCAATCTTGTCACCCAATGTTCGGATATTGGTAACGAGATTGTGTAGTTTCAAGACAAACTTTCATCTTGATGGCCCAAGTTGTGTAGTTGTTTTTGGAAGGCATCGAATATTGGAGACTAACTGCTCCTTCCTTGGTTTTAGGACCGTCCATGGTTTTGCGAGGCATGTATTTGGGCATCCACTTCACCCCGAATCTCTGATACCAATTGTTGTAAACTACCCAGGATTTTCCTAAACTGGAAATGCAGGAGCTACGAACTCACTTAGACAATAAAGCAAACACTTTGTGAGCAAGAAGAAAAATACTTTGTGGTGCAAACTAAATTGATGTAAAGTTGCTCTGTTTATTGATCAGGGATCGCACCGTACAAAACCATTTGCTGCAAATTAAATAGGGATGTAAAACAACTAACAAGACACTACTCCACTACTCTAAAAAAAAGGATCAAATTAACAAACAAAGCACTAAAATAGGATCATGGGTAATGCCCATAATTTTAGGAGTAAAAGTTTGGACTAATTCCAACAGCTCTGTCATATATGAATCAAGCTTCCGAATTAATTACCTTTGAGGCGAGCTTCATATATATTTGGGCTAGGCATCATTCTACTCCCGCCTAGCTGAGCCTGGCACACCGCATAGATGTTGTGTACTAATTAGGCATTTCAATACAAACAATGTGGACAATCTGAAAACAAATGTCACCAAGGAGCAATTCATTTCGGGACCAACATCACCCAATCCGTTACGGAAACCTGCTCTTATGCTATACACTAATACACATGTGGCTTATCCAGGCGTTCTGCCAAGAAACGACAATCATCTATACCAATCAATATAATCAATCATTGATTCTCTCACCGATGAGCCATATATGTGGCTCATTCTTATTAGACTAGTTATTTTATCTGTTCACCAAGTACTCCGTAGTAGATATTCCAGCATAAATAGTCACCCCCACTTGTGGAACGGGATCTCAATTCCGAGTTTTTGTACTACCTACGTCACTTTTTATTTAGTTATCTTTGACTTTTCCAGTAAAAGATGATAAACTTTGATTCATTATTTAACTAATATATTTATGTAAAACTTAATAAGTTTATACTTTTACGATAATATTTTTAACAAAGAACATTTTCATATCATTTTGATATTATTAATATTATCGTGTATTAATATATATTCAGTCAAAGTTTAACATCTTTAACTTGGAAAGTAGTTATTGATGACTAAATAAAAAGGGACGGGTGGAGTATATTGTTACTTTGTCAAATTTTCCACTGGATTCATACCTATGCATATGAAATTAAATGTACTAGTTATTATTATAATTTGTATAATCAAATTAAGTAGTGAACTCTTGTGGGGGTATTTCATTTGTCTCATATGCATGCATGTACTAGTTCAAGTCGCAATATATCCGGCAAACTCCAAAGCAAGACCATGAGATCGATCGAAGGAGAATTAAATTGGCAAGCACGTATAGTTTAAATCGTTATATATTTTCAAATTCCAGTCATTAAAGAAAACACTTAAATTAGAAAGGTCACGTACAAAGTTTAATGAATGGCACCCTTTGACAAACATCGTATTCTTTCGTCCCTCTCATCAATGAACACTTTCCATTATATATTTAAGTTTAAATTACAGCACGGAGTATAATTTATATAATTTCCCCCCAACCAGTGATTGAACATGGATTTCTCCCATGTTCAGTCACTTTACCCCTTCCCAACTCCACAAATGTCGGAAGAAGATTTCAAGGTCTTTCACGGCATTGATAGAATGCTCTTCACACGGCTAGTCATCGGACTGGGGCGTGACCCCGCCGAGTCCATCCAACTCATGGCGTTCTTGTTGTGGCTGGAACGCACCGCCCGGAACGGCGTCCATTTGGTTGACCAGGTCTTGAGTCTGCCGCCGCAGTCGGTCAACGAGGTGGCGGATGAGGCGGCGTTGTGTCTGAAATGCATCGAGAACGAGCATTTCCCCGTCGTCTTCGTGGCTCCCACCCTCACCAAGATGATCAGCAGCCTTGTTAGCCCCGTTGACCTCCGCCGCAACCGGGTCAACGTTCTTCGCGGGGTCAACAAATGTGTCAACGAAGTGTGCTTTAGGGCTTTCGATGACATCCTACGTTTGCATCGGTTATCCGCGGGAGCGGCTCCGACCGCCGTCGTTTCTGGACCCATGCAGGTGGGGTCCACTCGTGTGTCTAGCCCTACTAAGAAAGGGGAAGTAATGGAGGATAAGGATAGAGCAGTAGGGGAGGGTGGAGGAGTGCATCCCGATGAGAGGACCATCTTCTTGACCTTCTCTAAGGGATACCCTATTTCTGAGCAAGAAGTGGCCGATTTCTTTTCTAGGTATGTATATATTCGTGCATGCATGGATAAGTATAATTCCAGATTTCCAGTCCAGTTTGTGATAGATTTTATGTTGTGTTACAAACGAAACAATTGAATATTGAAATTTAATTGTTTACTCGTATTATACAAAGAGAGGAGCAGCTTCTCCCCGCTTTGATTTAAATATTTTTTCCCGCCATCTATGTATAAGGCTTTCTACAAATTAGGCATACTCTTGAATTTGACAATTAATGACTCGTTAAATTCTCAACTCATAGAAATAAATTGAATGTAATACTATTTTGGGATTTTTAATTTAATTGTGTGTGTAGGGATGGCAACAGGACGGATCGAGGATGGTTTTACATATAACCGTAATCGCTCCGTAACCGCCCCATTACCCAACGGATAATTTTTACCCAAATAATAACCGCCCCAACGGGTAATGGGTAAAACATCGAGTAACCGCAGATAACCGCTTTATTAATTGAGTCATTAAATTTTGATATAAAAAATATATTTTAAAAGGTGAAGAATGACACCGCCTCGACCACTCTACACTTCAGTTGCCACTTTAAAGATTCGTATATCTACAAGACGAGAAAGGAAGCAACTTAAATTAATTTGAACCTAAAAATACTTAATCTAAAAACTAATTTATCACGAAAAAATATGATAATAATCAAACAAGACTATTAAAATCCATTACGAACTTCATTTATAGATTATAGTTAGTACATCTATTATCTATATATACGCAATGGTAAGAAAAAATTCTCATCTTTTAATAGTTGTGAGACAAATAATAGATAAAAATATAATAAAAATATAGGTACAAAAAAATGGAGCGGGTATGGGGCGGGTAATGGGGTGGACATGTATAAAACCGTAACCGCCCTATTACTCGTAAAAACAAAATGGGTATTCCCCGCCCCATACCTGTTACCCGGTCAATGCGGTTTTCCCCGTTTTGACCGGGGCGGTTCGGTGTGGATATCTATCGCTTCGGTCACAATTGCCATCTCTCTGTGTGTGTGTGGAATTAGAGAGTAAATTGATGATACTAAAATTGTGTAGTACTAAAAGATGGCAAACTTTTCCATGTCATAAAATAATAGTAAAATGTGTAGTGAATTTTAAAAATTGACCTTTTTGAAATTAAAAAATCATACATTCTTATTTGCTTTTAACTCAATAAGAAATTTTATAATTTGGAAGGAAAATTACTCTAAATTAGAGTAAACTAGTTTTCAAAAATATGAGTTATTGTCATAATTGTAAAATATTGTCAAGGTTAAAAAGTAATACGTAACCAATACGGAATAGTAAATAATACGTAGTACTCCCTCTGTTCCTATTATATCTTCCAACTTTCCTTTTTCATTTAATCCACTTAAACTTCCACTTTCCTTTTTTGGTAAAAAATTTGTGGTTCACAACATTTCTTACACATTTCTCTCCTTTGCACAACTTTCCACCACCCGATACACATTTCTCTTAAATTGTGTGCCAAAGTGAAATGGAAGATATAATAGGAATTGAACGAAGGGAGTATCATATATTGAATGACTTGTACCGTAACTAATTGACAATTATGACTACAAAATTGCGGTAAATATTGTTATGTTACTCCAATTTTGAAAAGTAAAAATGTAATACTGATGTTCTGAAATTTCAAAACATGTATACTCATATTTATCACAGTGACTTATACGATTAGTATTATATCAAATTATCATTATCGAGCGATAGGTTATTGTTTGTATAAAAAAGTCATCTTGATATATGGAGTATATTCTATTGGCATATTAACACGCTAGACACTACTTCTTTTGTACCTAATAATTTTGTCAAATTTGACTTATAGGTAGAGTTATGAAGTAAAAATATGTAAATTGAGATTTTTTACTTCGTAGAGATCGGAGAACCAACAGAAACTACAAATTTTTTGTTATAAATAGCATAATTTTTTGTTATAAATAACATCATATTATTATCTAATTTTTATCAAAAAAACTCAATCTAGAAGCCCCTCAATCTGGTTTAGCCGTACGGGACATTAGGTCAGGCGGTGCTAACAAGCCCATTCAGTCTTATCTAGCGATTACTTTTTTATTTTAAAAAAAATCTATTCATAAATTATGGTGCTTGCATAAATTGAAATGGGGGTTTGCCAGGGATATTACTAAAAAAGAGTGTTAAAAGAAGTGATCTTTTGTTTTAATTTCAAAAAATGTGACTAAAAAAGAGTAAAGAGATCACTTCACCCTTATTAAACCAACTGACCTGTTAGAGTGACCAACCATTTAATGACTTGCACCCAGTGACCAACATCCGCTCGTTCAGTGACCAACGTCTATTCGTGTGACTAACGTCCACTCGTCCAGTGACCAACATCCGTCCGTTCAGTGACCAACGCCTACCGTCCAGTTACAGTTACCCGATTTGTCAGTTATAATTATTCGTCCACTCACTTACAATTATCCAATCCACTAATTATAGTTATCTAATTTCACCCGACCAGTCCTTTTCAAAGATCCTTTTCTATATCTAGCAATACTTTATTATTAAAAGCATCCTTATTTATTGGGAATCCCGTGCGTGTATAAATTATGGTGCTTGCATAAATTGAAAAGTGCATGGGCGCATGCAGGAAATTCGGTGATAGCATAGAGTCAATTCAGATGCAAGAGGTGGCGTCGGGCGAACAAGTTTTGTACTCAAAACTGGTGGCGCGATCACTACGTGCACTTGAGACCATAGTGCGCGGCGGCAGAGCTAAGTATAACATCAACGGTAAACATGTCTGGGCTCGCAAGTACATCAAAAAGAAGAGCTCTTCCACTAATAAAAATTCTCCGTCATCACCGCCGATAACGGCGGCCGCCGCTTTTTCCTCGAACCCCTGATGATTTCATTTCACACTACAATTTCTTGTATTAATGATCCCTCTATATATGTTCACACTTGCTATATGTTATAAATGTACGTACATGTAAGCAATAAACACCCATGGAAAACGTATTTATTTACTCCCTCTTGTCCTTATTAAAGTTCTCACTTTCCTTTTTATGATGTCTCTTATTTAAGTTCACACTTCCATTTTAGGAAACAAAACAGTGCAAAACAGTGCCAAACAGTGTCCAAACAGTGCACTCCACAGTAAAGTCAAATTTATTTTCTTAATCAGTGTGAAGTCAAATTGGGAATTTTAATAAGTAGATCTCATTTCATCTTACGCCGTTTTAATATTAAAAATTGTTTAAGGTGCGTAGGAATAAAATAAAGATATTTTTACATAAATATTATCAATAGCATATGGGGTTACAAAAAAATTACTCCCTTCGTCCCAATATGATTTGCAAAGTCAACATTTTTTAATCAACCAATAAAAAAAGTCAATGCTCCCTGTTGATAATTAATTCAATTTTTAATAACTAAAATTTATATATTGAGAAACTACATTAAAATCTCTTCAAAGTTGTAAACTCCAAATAAGAATATAATTAAAAATTTACATTCTAATTAAGCAAATAAAATAAAATTGTTTGACCAAGAAAACTCAAATTTGCAAATCAATTTGGAACGGAGGGAGTACTATTAATATGGAGCACGTAGGCATCATGAGAGTAAGTTAGGGAAAAAACTCATATTTTTGTTATTGGGGTTCAAAGTAGTAATATTTGTGTAATTTTTTCTAAAATAAAAGGATTTTTTTGAAGATTTTACTCAAATAAAACTCATTTCTAAAAATATTACTGAAATAAAACCTATTTATAAAAATATAACTAAAAGTATGATTGAATTTTTACTACTATAATCACAATATTTAAGATGTTACAATTGTGTAAACAATTTTAATTATTTTACTAAAAAATACTCCCAAAGTATCATTCTGGTTGCCCCGGTTTCCTTTTTTGATGTATCAAATTAATTGTCAATTTTTCCCTTTTGAAAAAAAATCACTAACAGGCAGTCACAATATCACTACAATATCAAAAACTTCTTACTTTTATAGTGTACATTAATTAGAGATTAGGACAATAATATAACTAATAATTGACTAATGGATCAAAAAGTGACTTTTTTCTAAAATTTCCCAAAAAGATATTAGAAAGAGGTGAAGTGACCAATATACCCTTGCTTCATCTTACTAGAGCTACAGTAACGTCACAGTGACCAATGTCTCAGTGACCTCTCATGCTAGTGACATGTTGCCCTAATGACCAACTCCCTAGTAACCAACTGCCCTGTGACTCCGGTCCAACAACCTGCTACCCCAGTGACCTCCGCTCAGTGACTCATCCCGCAGTGATGCGCCATGCTCGTGACCTATATTTTACATTAGCCTCTTGCCAAATAGACACTGCCGTACTACCACCCACATCAGTGACTTGTTGCACGGTTCATCGACTCCCTTACCTAAATTAATGTTGGGAAAAACTCCGGATTTTCCCGCTTCATGAAGTCAAGATAGACACTTAAGTATTAAAGATAGTAATGGCAGCACACGATTTAAATTCTTCAATATGGAGATTCTTCCACTATACAAAAGAATGATAAGATTTACAAGAATGTTACAAAATTGTCTCACTCAATGGTGGCTCACTCAAGCTTGAAGATAAAGACTTCGCAAGCTATTTTTCTTCTCTCTCAAAGAGACCCTCTCACTTTGTTTTTCTCACTCTAAGAAGTGGATTCACTCTTGTTAGGATGGTTAGGAATGAAGGTATCAACTCCTATTTATACTACTCCACCTCCATAATGAATGGTGGGGAGTAGTTCTCTAGAATGCTCTACATATGCCTACATGTTCTAGATAACTTGAAGGAATCTCTACATCTCTCCATTCCCTTCCATATGCTTCCATACTCTTCCATAAGATTTCAGAAGGTTCCACACATCTCGTGATGGTCTCTGGTGAGGTAAAAGTCTAGAGGGGGGGGGGGGGGGTGAATAGACTTTTAAAATCTTTTCTTTTTCAACCCCTTTTCCCTCAAACAGAATGAGTTACTATATCTTTTGAGAGATATTGAAACATACAGCGGAAGTCTTGACCTCAAGAGTGTGACACTTTATTTTATTTTTTTTCAAAACCCGGAAGGTAAACCACCAAGATCAGTGGGGCAAACGCCGGGGAACGTTTGCCAGATTTTATTAATAGATGTGAAAAAATACAGTAGAGAGGGGGACCAAACCAAAACCTCTCCTTAGAGGCATACCTCTAAAAGTACATGATTCAATACTAAAAAATAAGAAATTTTTGGGGGGGCTTGACGTGACCCAAAAATTAAAATACACGAAATTAAAAACGCAAGGATGGAATACAAAAAAGGTCTCCATAATAGCTATTTTTAACATCTTTTAGCAAATTACCTACCTGATCAAATAAAATAATTTGGGCCGAGCCCAGATTCTTACCTGCAAGCAGATGGGCCGGACCGTTCCCTTATCGAAATACATGTCCGAACGAAAACCTTCTCATCGTTGCCTTTCTCCTGAAATCAGCAAAGTTGCCTGAATCATCCAAAATAAGGGAGATCGCCCTAGCCGCATCACTCTCCACCTGAACATCTGCGAAACCAGCTTCCATTATCATTTCTGCTGCGAAAATCAACGATTGCAACTCAGCCTCCTCACTGGACGCCGCTTGAAGTTTGAAGGATGTAGCCCAAACCAGTTCTCCCATCCGATTCCGAAGAATAGCTCCTCCCGAAGCACAACCAGGCTTGAGTGTGACACTTTATAGTAACAAAGGTTATGATCATTTTAGTTGTGATAGAGATGGATAGATAGAACACATATGTATGAAGGATTTAGACCTATTGAAATAGATCTCTTTGAAGTATGTAGCTAAGGAGTTTTATTCACAGAAAATTTTAGAGAGTTTCCTGGACAATGAGTATGCAAGCTTCTAGGATTGTATGAAGGTGAGTGGGAACTGAAGTGTCTATTGGGTGGTGAATATAAAAGGTACACAAGATATATTCTGGTTCAGAGGCGGTGTAATCCTCCTACATCCAGTCCCAACCTATTTCAGATAGATTTCCACTAAATCAATATCCCATTACATTTAGTGCCCAATCAACCCTTGGCCCAGGCATAGATTGTGAGGTTTTTCACAAGGAACTTAAACACTGTTCCAAGCTACTCAGTCCTCCAAGGTTTTTCACTAATGGCATTGACTCGCCAAGAGCTACCCATGTCCTTCAAGATTTTTCACTAATGGCATTGACTTTCCAAGAGCTCCAGAATGTCTAACACTAGTCTAGTTTACTCATGTCCTTGCCCTTCTCACCTTCTGGATTTGATCACAAAGCCCTCCAGAATGTCTAACACTGGTCTAGTTTACATGGGTTTAAACTAAATTACCAACTAATCTAAGCTCTATAGATGTGTATGAATTATGAGCTATTCTAAGAGCATTAGATGAGTGGCGTGGTAACCAAAGTGGTGAAGGTGAATCAGTTTGCTAGATGTGTTCGTGTAAATCTTGATTCCCTTCAGTTCCACTTGGTTCCTGAATTGGTAATTATGTTTTACCAATTGACCACAGTTCTATCACCTGTTACCACACTTGATCTTCCCGCACTCCTTTTGTATTTATAGACTCTGTTGTTGAATCTCCTCTGTTGGCTGAGTGATTCAATCTTGATTGTTGCTTGATCTACTTGCTTTGTTCCACTTGATTGAGGCAGCATGGTTGATTCTTGTCTTCTTGTGACACGGATCAAATATTTTCACTCAACTTGATTCCTCATTTCTAGGTAAAGATAAAGATGATTTATCTTTATTTCTTTAGCTCGTTGAAAATCAGCATTTAAGCTGAGTGTTGTTCAATGCTTCAATACAATAAATTCACTTGCTTTTAGTAAAGTAATTGTCACAGAATTTCTTGTAAAATTACTTTCTATTCTTTTTATCATTTAGACTGCAAGTTGGTCTTCTGTTTAATTTTTTTGTGCTTAGAGAAGAATACTAGATTTCGGTGTTTGGATCAGAATACCATGAGGTCTTCTGTTCTGGTACTAACAGAAGACCTGTTCTGGTGTTGACCAGAATACTTGGGGTCTTCTGGTGTGACCAGAACAGAAGGCCACCAAAAGGTTAAACCTCAAGGTTTTCTGATTGTATCCGATTTTATAAGGGTTTTAGTTGACCCTTTTCGTACCTTTTCTTTTTGTTTCTTTTCTTTTTGTTTTATGGTACGTTTCTTTTCTTTCTAGTACTCTTTTTTTTTCTTGAGTACTTCATCACTAATATTGGAGCACATTACAATAAACAAAGTAGAACAAATACAAGTACTAGTCTAATACAGGAATTATACAAAAAGGGGTGGCATCATCAAAACAATACAATGACATCAAAATCTAGGTGACCTAAAAATTTCCCCCTTTTTGATGATGCCAAAAACTAGAATAACAAACACTAAATAGTAAAAAATAAATTATCCTAAGTGTTTGATTCTATTTTCCCCCTTTTGGCAGCAACAAACATCTACTCCTGGTGCCTTTTGTCAGAGGTTTTTCCAGGGAGGATGTTAGCTATTTTTCTCTTTCTTCGTCTCTCATTTGCTACCTCGAGGATATGGCTTTTGGAGTGGTAGGTTGTGTTGATTGTTTCCATCGAGAGTGGTGTCTCAATGTTTTCTGTTTTTAGCCAGCCTAGAGCAAACTTTTCTTCATCCCTCATTTTGGGTACATTGAGGACGAGTTGATCAATAGGGGACGTCCTCCAAGTTCTCCATTCAAGCACTCTCAGACGTTCTCTTAGTAGTATCTCCTTTTCTTTTGCATGTAAGATTCGTGATTCAAGATCAGTGAAACGTTCTGTTGGTGAGGTTGTAGGAGCTCTCCGATGTGGTGCTGATGGTTGTGGAGGTGCAAGAGATAGTTCAAGCTATAGATGATTTGATGAGGCATCCATTTGAATCAATGATTTTTCG